AAGCGTGTATTCGTAGGTATTTGCCCATGTAAAAAACAAAAAAAAATGTTATACTTCTTCAGGAAAAAAAAAACAAAAACAAATCCATGTCGCGTGGTTAACTGATAACTGAGCTCCTGTTTCCCGACGTGCAAAAATTCGACCTCCCATCGTCCAAACATATCGCGATCCCTGCTTGCGGCCTGTCTCGCGTGGTTTGCGAAACAACTGCCTATTTGTTTTAGTCAGTCATTCATTTATATAGATGTAGCAGGGCGTAGACTTAAGACCTAGATCCTCGATTGTGAGAGACTACTGGACGCGTGCAGCGCGCAGAACGTCATTACACACGTCGCGCCGCGCCAGCCGCACGGCAATGTGATGCGGACGGCACGTGGCGTCCTGACGGACGCCCCCTACTAGCATACAATTAACCACTTCTCTTTCCTTCAAGTGAATACCAAGCTTGGTAACTAATGTCAGAACCAAGTGTGTTGGGTTCTCCCCACTCTCCTCTGGAATGCCACTTAATTTGGCTCATCTCCCCACTCTCGTCTGGAATGCCACGTCGTTTGCAAGCAATTCATTGTCCTATCATTTAAGTATGCTTGCAGCTGACTGACGGTCGACTCGAGTTTCAGGATTTCACTTTTGAATCACAAGAGTCATATTACTCTTGTGATTCCAGGATAGTTTGGAACGTGTTCTCCAGCTTATCTAAACGAGCATCGCATTTACTGACAAGGGCTCTTATGTCGTGAAGTTCCTCTCTGAATGCCAGAATTTCTTCGCGGATCAGGCGCATCTTTTCTCGGAAACATCGCAACGGAATCGGAGAGGACCGAGGTTTGAAACCTTACTCGAATTCGCAACATTCATTGTTGAGGGTTTTTCGGCATTGTGTCCTTGTTGCAGCGTTTTTCTTTCAATTTGCATTCAGTGCAAGCCCAGGACAGAATTATTGAAGCGCCCACAGCAATACCTACACACGCACGACGTAGCTGCTTACTGTACAAGTGATATTAGCGCCATCTTGCTGTGACATGTATTTACCGCACACACTGCACTTTACCTTTATGATCAACTAGCTGTTCCCCGCGTCTTCGCCCGCGTGGAGTTATTTTTCGCGGAACCCTAAAATGAAAGCAGCCCAAGTTACTCCTTATATCATCAGCTATCTGCCAGTGTGTATATTGACAAATATTGACATTAATATGTATACAATACTAACGTCACTCAATTGTTTTGCCTTCCCGGAACCCTTCCACTAGCACTTAAACTTTATGGTATGGTATTAAAGTTCAAATTGACTTTTAAGTATTATTACGAATCTTTTGTATATGAATATAGAAAACTGTTGTTTTTAGGCTTTTTCAGGCAATTTGTTAAATATTTCTCTCCGTTAGAACCATTCTTGTCCAAAGAATATTATAAAAAAAGAATTAGCGAAATTGCTTCAGCTGCTCTCGAGATTTGCGCTTAGGAACAAATTCAGCGATTCAATTTTATATTATAGAGATATGTCCAATAAGATTTAATAGTTGATAAAGCTAAATTAATGCGTTAATGCGTTGATTTATTAGTACACCACGGAGGCGTTATATGGCGTTGTAAGGATTAGTATTATATTATTAAATTTTATTTATTCTATGAACTTTAAAAATAAAATGATGATATGTAAATGTTGTTTTTCACTATTTATTCACTAATTACTAAACACTCTAATGTGTCGACACTATATATAAAGTCCAAAGTAAATAGATGTTTAACTTCTGCACAAAATTTCTGACCTAAATAACGTCTAAATAATTTTAAATTTACATAAACTTTTCTGACTCACTATTTACGTATCTCACGACAGGCGTCCGTGACGTCACTCCCTATTATGTAGGTATCTCTATACTAGAGGTTTCGCACCTTTTACACTGTCGTTCCCGGTTTGAGTTTTTTAACCTCGGCATAAACGAAAAGACCTTTTCGACTGACACATTCTATAGTTGTCTCTTATTGACACCCACGGGATGAAATTAGGTGATGAATTCACTCATGCCGGCACCACAAAACACAATTCACCTTTGTTGCATTCCTTGTCATTTAACAAACTACAGTTTATCCATTCGAAAATGCCGAACCCAAAACTCACCAACTGGTGACGAGCAGCATTATCAATGCAAGGGTGCTGACTGTTCGCTTTATCATGATCATTACAGACCTTTACAAGTACAATGCTGAATATAAGCCTCACCCAAGGAATGCCACAAAACACAGTCCTAAACTACACACATTTATTGACTTCATGAATGACTTAGCTAGTCTTGACTCCCCCTGGTGGGGGACCACCCTACACTTCCAGACTCTTCGTATAACAGCTGTTCAAGAAGAAGGAGGTTAAATATTAATTTTAACCTGATGCTAGTACCTCAAACCGTTGCGAGAAAAACCATCCCGACACGAACTGACAGACGGATAACAAAATGATGCTATAAGGGTTCCTTTTGCCATTAAAGTTACAGAAACCTGAAAACTAACAATTTTTTATAGTAGAGGGGGCTAACGCGTTTGCAGCTCACCTGATGGTAAGTGACTACCGCCGCCCATGAACAACCGCAACACCAGGGGAATCGCAGATGCGTTGTCGGCCTTTTAAAAAGGAGTAGGCTCTTTTCTTGAACATCCCTAAGTCGTATCGGTCCGGAAAAATCGCTGATGGTAATCGATTCCACAAGGAAGTTGTGCGAGGAAGAAAACATCTTGTAAATCGTACAGTGGTGGACCGCCAATCATTTAGATGGTGTGGATGGTATCGGGAATTCTGCCGCGATGTGTGTTCGTGAAATTTGGCGACTGGGATTAATCCGAACAATTCCTCAGAGCACTCACCGTGGTAAATGCGAAAGAAAATGCAAAGGGTTGCAACATCTCTTCGCAGCGCTTATGAATTGAGCCAATCGGAATGGGCTCGGTCGTCGACGATTAAAGCCGTTGTGCGCTGGATGCGGTCAAGTGGAAGGAGTTGGCACTGGGGAGCACCAACCCAGAGATGGGAACAGTATTCCATGTGAGGCCGAACCTGCGCCTTGTAAAGTTGCCGGCGTTGTGCCGGCATGAAATACGCTCTGCTGAGCACGCCAAGCTTTTTAGAGGCCAATTTGGCCTTCTCTTCTAAGTGGCCACGAAACTGCACGTCACTCTATATGTCGAAGCCGAGGATTCCGATACTGGCTGAGACAACAAAGGGAGTGCCTTGAAAATGAAGATATACGACAAAGGGGTTCCTTTTAGCGGTAAACGTGCATATAGTGTATTATCTATGGGAGTGCCTTGAAACTGACGAGATACGACAAAAGGGTTATTTTAAGCAGAAAACGCATAAACTTGTGCCTTCTGAGGATTAAACTGGACTAGATTTAGTTGCCCTTCATCCGAGACTTTGTTCAGCAAAGACTCGACTTCAGACACAAGTTTGTTCCGGTACTCGGCGACGTTTTCCCGAAAAAAAAAACCTTTGAAAAATTAGTCTTTAATTACATTTACCCTACCATAAGTCGGGGCTTACCAGAATTTCAGCACGGTTTCCTCAAAGGGAGATCAACCATTAGTAACTTAACACACTTTATCACAGAGACCATGCATCATATGGATGGCGGAGGTCAGGTTGACGTGATCTACACGGATTTCGAAAAAGCCTTTGACCGCGTGGATCACGTCATCTTGCTTCGTAAGTTAAAAATACTTGGAATACATGGGGACCTTCTGAGATGGATTGATTCTTACCTAAGAAATCGCTCTCAGGCAGTAGTTGTAGGAGGACACAAATCAAACTTTATAAAAATCACATCTGGCGTACCACAAGGGTCTCACTTAGGGCCCCTCCTATATAACGCTTATCTATATGATATATATACATGCTTTAAACATTCCTCGTTCATGTTGTATGCAGATGATAAAAAGATATTTTTTAAAATAAAAAATTTAGAGGATTGTTATAAGCTTCAAGAAGATTTGAAGAGGTTGGACTATTACTACATAAATAATCGTATCTCTGTTAATGTCAAAAAATGTCAAACTTGCACATTCACACGCAAAAGTAAACCAGTAGAATATACTTACAGATTGAATGGAACAACAATTCAAAAAGTACAGGTAGTCCGAGACCTTGGCATTTTATTAGATTCCAAGCTTACATTTAGTAATCATATTGATTATATCACAAATAAAGCATACAGAAACTTAGGATTCGTAATACGTACATGTCAACCCTTCTCAAACTTACCTTGTATTAAATTATTATACTATGCCTATGTTCGCGGTATCTTAGAATATGGTAGCAACATATGGTGTCCACAATATCATACATATATTAACAAAATAGAAGTATTACAAAATAAATTTTTAAAGTTCATGGACTACAAAATTAAAGAACGACATCAGGCATACAAAGAAAGATGTGTATATCATAAATTCCTCTCATTAGAAGATAGAAGAAAAATGCTTGATCAAATGACACTGTATGACCTAATTCACGGCCGACTTGATAATTCGTATTTACTGGGACTTATTAACTTCTCAACGCCCATATATCGAACAAGACATACCAAATTGTTCTCCAACTGCCACTTTCATACAAAATATAGCAAAAACTCACCAATAAATCGGATGTGTTGTACTTATAACCAATTTTTTGCAAACATTGATATTTTTACGAAAAAGAGAGAAACCTTTAAAACTGAAGTATGCAAAAAACTTTTTAATAGTTATTTATAATTAAGGTATTGAACACACACACACACACACACACACACACACCGATAAACGTCGCTCTTTCTTTTTAATTATGTATAGATAACATAGGAAAACCTGTAATAAGGCTTATGTTAAGCTAATTCAATCGGATGTAATCTTTTTTTTTTAAAGCTGTTGGTTTTCTAAATAAATAAATAAAAAAAAAAAAATACTTTTTTTTGATATTAATTAATCAATTCTATAACTATCTTTTACCATCATTTTGTTTGTTGTTTACGATGGAAGGACAAATTAATATATTAAAAGACCTTCAACAAGTAATTCAAAAAGCCTTTACTAATTTTAAAAAGTGTCCAAAGGATAGACTTACAGTAGAACATATACAAACAAGGCTTGAATTATTAGAAAATGATTGGTCTTCGTTTAAAAATACTAAATCTCAACTTTATGGTCGGTTTAAGTTAGAAGACATAGGTCAAAAGGTTGTCGATATATATGACACAACCGAAGATACTTACATATCATGTAAATGTTTAATGAAATCAACGTTAAATAGTGTAAGAGAACCGCTACCACAAGACAGTGGATGTAGTAATAATTCTTCTAAGCAATCTAATTCATTTGTAAAGTTGCCCAAGATAACAATTCCTACCTTTTCTGGCAAGTACAGTGAATGGACATCTTTTCACGATCTTTTTATTTCACTTGTACACAATAATGCATCTTTAGATAATGTGCAAAAACTGCACTATCTTAAAAGCCACCTCACTGGTGAAGCCGAACAGTTGATTAGGCACACACCAATCACAGATGCCAATTACCGCGAATGTTGGTCTCAGTTAGAAAAGCGTTATGCAAATAAAAAGTATTTAACCAGTTGTATTTTAAAAAGATTGTTCGGCCAGAAACGCTTACATGTGGAATCGGCTAACTCATTAAAGGAGCTGCTAGATACCACGAGCGACTGTTTAAATGCATTGAAAAATTTGAAAATCGATGTAAGTACATGGGACGTTATTGTTATCCATATAGTGACGTTCAAATTAGATAATGAAACACGAAAGCAGTGGGAGTTAAGTGTTTCTAATGACTCCAGCAACGAGTTGCCCACCTTTGAGCAGTTTCGGATATTTATTGAAAGTCGTTTTCGCGCTTTAGAATGTATAGAGCCGAGGAAGGCTGTGGCTCACCAGATCAATAATAGTTCTCACGTTCTTAGTTCGAAAGCAATGCTGGCCACAAAGTCGTCGAATATTCGTTGCGAATTTTGCTCAGAACTTCACAAGCTCTGTTTTTGTAAGCAATTTGCAAAACAGTCCATAGAAAACAGACGAGAGTTCGTAGCAAAAAATAAAATATGTTTTAATTGTTTAGGCGGAAATCATACAGTTTATGACTGTAAAAAGCAGAATGTCTGTAGAGTTTGCAAAAAGCGCCACCATTCCTTGCTGCACCCTAATAGAGAACCTAACGCTGAGAATAAAGGCCAAGATTCTACAGTAAAGTCCACTATCGACAACGCCAGTTCTTCAAATAGTGACAATCAGATAGTTACATGCTTATCTACGGGCAAAGTCTTAAAACCCAGACAGGTTTTATTAGCCACTGCATTAATAAAGGCAGAGTCCAAGATAGGTGAATTTCAAACAATTCGAGCCCTACTTGATCAAGGATCACAAGCATGTTTTATAACAGAGGCCACTGTCCAATTTCTTAGGCTTAAGAAAATTCCAGTCCGAGGTCACGTTTCAGGTTTAGGAGATAATAAGTCAACCATTGCTAATTATATGGTAAATTTAATTATTAAATCCACTGTTGATCTTGATTTTCAACTTCAAATAAATGCTTACGTCTTGAGTAAGATTACATAATACTTACCTGAGAGAAGTGTGAATACCAGTTCATTGGATTGGATTGATATCAACGGTCTTTGTTTGGCAGATCCTTATTTCAAAACACATGAGACCTGTAAAGGAAGAGGATAATAAGAAAGATGAAGCAGTTTACTTACCACACCACGCGGTGATTAGAAACGATAAGACCACCACGAAGGTACGTGTAGTTTTCAACGCCTCTGAGAAAAATAAAAAAGGAGTTTCACTCAATGACACTTTAATGGTTGGACCAACGCTGCAAGCAGACTTAAGACACACCATTCTTAGATGGAGAGTACACGCTATTGGTATTGTGGCGGATATAATCAAAATGTACCGCCAAGTCAGAATAGCGGATGAAGATGCTGTCTTCCAGAGGATACTTTGGCGAGAAAGCCCTGAAAAGCCACTTAGGGATTATGAGTTGGTAACGGTGACCTTTGGAACAGCTTCTGCACCATATCAGGCAGTTAGGTCACTCCATCAGGTTGCGTACGACGAAGGAGATAAGTACCCGCTTGCAGCAGATAGAGTTTTAAACTCTTTTTATATGGACGATTTAATGATGGGAAGTAATAGCGTCGAAGAGGGCGTTGAAATCTGTAAACAGATGGTAGCATTATTAGGAAAGGGAGGATTCGCATTGCAGAAGTGGAACAGTAACAATCGGCAACTATTAGATAGAATAAGTTCAATATATACAAATGAAGTAGTACAGCAAACAGGTCAAATAAAAATTAAAAATGAGAACACTGAAAATAAGGACAAAGAGGACATAGGAGTTAAGGAAAAGGAAATAGATAATAAGGAAATAGAAATTAAGCTAGATAGTACAATAAAAATTTTGGGACTTACCTGGAACCGCCACGAAGATTGCTTTCAGTACTCGGTAAATCTTCCACCGCTGACGACAGCACCTGTAACAAAAAGACTAATAATATCAGATATAGCTCGTTTGTTCGACCCATTGGGATGGTTAGCTCCTAGTGTCGTATTAGCAAAGATGTTCAAACAAAAATTATGGCTCTTAGGTGTATGTTGGGATGAGGAATTAACTACCGAAGTAATAACAGAGTGGAGTACTTACCGCGAAGAGTTGTCATTACTAACCAAAGTTCAGGTACCTCGTTGGCTTGGTACTAGTTCATCTGATGACCTTGAATTGCACGGTTTTAGTGACGCCTCTAAAGCAGCGTACTCAGCCGTCGTTTACTTAAGAACAATTGATGTCTCAGGCAAAATTCATCTGTCGTTGTTAGTGGCTAAAACGAGAGTAGCTCCCATCAAACAAATTAGTATTCCTCGATTGGAGCTATGTGGTGCTGTACTTGTATCAAAGTTATTGATAGAGACCGCAGAGATTTTAAATATTTCAAAGGAAAAGATCTTTGCATGTACTGATTCTACAGTAGTGCTATCGTGGCTTAATAGTCACCCTAGCAGGTGGAAAACGTTTGTTGCCAACAGGACTTCAGAAATTTTGGGCGCTTTGAATTCATCTCAATGGTTTCATGTGCCGACCAAAGAGAACCCAGCTGACTGCGCATCAAGAGGAATACTACCCAGTTCATTAGTCGGTAATGAGTTATGGTTTTCAGGACCATCATTTCTGAAAAATAAATTAATTGAGTACAAGAGGCCAAAGAATCTAAAGACAGATTTAGAACAAACTATAAAGGCGCACACAGCTGTAGTTCCAGAGCACGTAGTTTTCGAAAATTATTCCAGTCTAAGAAAATTAGTTAAAGTTATTGCGTTTTGTCGAAGAGTTTTAAAAAAGGAAAAACACGATAGTAAATATTTGAAAGATCACGAAATAGAAGCAGCATTACAAACGTACGAGGAAATGACTACATTCCTCAATCAAGTGGAAGCCTGTCTGAATTCGCGGCCGATAAGCGTTATTAACTTTACTGATCCTGGTGAGCCCCTCCCTTTAACTCCTGGACATTTTTTAATAGGAGAACCGATAATTAATGTACCAGATAAAAATTACAAAAGTTCAAACGTAAGCTATTTAACTAGGTGGCAATTTGTGCAAAGGATGCTGCAGTCTTTTTGGAAACGATGGTCACAGGAATATCTGTCAAAGCTCATGAATAGGTACAAATGGGCGTCACAAGTTCCGGAACCTAATGTTGGTGACGTTGTTTTAATTAAAGAAGATGATTTGCCTCCAAGTCGTTGGTTATTGGGTAGAGTTATAGAGAAACACCCCGGTGATGATAACGTTACCCGTGTAGTCACATTGCGTACGAAAACATCCGTAATTAAGAGGCCAACATCAAAATTATGTATTCTGCCTATCTCGGATCCATGAATTGTTCAATTTTTATGTCAAATTTATGTAAAAATATTATTGTATCAAATGTTCTTTTACTTTTACGATCAAATGTAGCTATATGTACAACATTAATTACATTTATAGGTTTAATTTTACAATGTTACTTTTCAAAATTTTATTTTAGGTTATTTTAAGCTGTTGAAGTCTTTATTTTTATTTGTAAGTTTTTAGGTCATACTTTATGAGATTAAATTATAGAAGTGTGTTATAAAGTATTAAGTGCAAATTTTAGACTTAAGTACAATTTAAAAGGCCATTCCGTCACTAAATGTCCTTGGTGGGCGGTATGTTAATAAAGAAACCACATTTGTAATTAAAAAAGTTTTAGTTCTACTTCGATAGATGGCGTTGACATAGAAATAGATTGCACTATGGTTGCGTTACTCAGTGTGTAATAAGGCCATTTAAATTATTGTATATAATAATAAACCAGCTCAGATCATACATTGTTGTAGTTTGATTTATATATTATCAACTCTTCAAGTGTATCAATAGGACAAACAGTACAACTAGCTTGCTAGTAAACACTGATGTATACGGAAACTCCAGCCTGAGGCACAAAGGAGTGCTCCAATTTGTACCCCGGGTAAGTGAGATACGAAGTATTATCTGGAGAGGACACCGGCGTCTCGATCAGAAAGAGCAAGGCCAGCTTTGCCGTCTCTGGATGGTAGTGGACGGCGTTTAGGTTCGAGTGAAGTCCCCTGATGTTGTAGAAATTCACGGATAGCGTAGCAGGGGTCATCTTGGTCTTGTTGCTCAGTTTGCCTCGAGCAGTTATTGTTTTGAGCGGAATATATAACCATTCCTACACGATGTGTCCAATGATGACATATGGATCTGAGATGTGGTTCTTTACAGCTGGCCGTATAGAAGCACAAGGTCGCTCACCGAGTTATGCATAGAGTTTATCTGCGTGATAAACTTCGTAATGAGGAAAACCGAAATAGAACCAGAGTCACCGACATAGTCTAACGATTCAGTATGCAGAAATCGCAATAGGCTGACCATATGGCTAAAGGAACCAACACCCGATGGGAAAGAAAGGTATTTCCGAGTGGCAGTCTCGTACTAGTAAGCGAAGTGCGAGGCAGACCCCCATTAGACGGGGTGACAACCTAGTAAAAGATGCAGGAAGTTGGTGGTTGGGACCGTACAGTATATGGAGCATTCCTTGGTATAGGCCTATGTTGTGTGGACTAATTATGGGCTGACATGATGATTATAATGATGACTCTTCCTAGAAAATATTTGATATATCGCTTACATGATATGATATATAGGTTACGGATTATCAAGTGGGGAGTAAATATAGTATTTAAAAGCAAACGGGGAGGCCGTTTGCTTTTCAAATACTAACGGCACTATACTTTAGCCGGCCAAGTTAACTGACCATGTGCTAACCATGTTTTTCGACGTCATTAAGTGACGCTATAGCTATATTATGGCTGCATCAAGATTTTTTCTACTCGACTGGGAAAAGATTATATTCTCACATAATACCAGCGTAAAATAGCACCATAATGATACTACATCATGGTCGTCATGGGTGCCAAAGCTTTTTTCATTTTGATAGAGAACTGGTTATTTTGCCACAGTATTGCCATCAAGCATTTATCATCGTAATATTTATAAAATATCGACTGTTATATCGATATATATCAGTGGTTATTTACGACTGGTGCTCCCTAAGAGTCACATGTACTGTTTCGTGAAGGCATCATACAATTGTCTCACATATAGAATAGTATTTAAAAAATCCTGGGGATGGTGGAGATGGAGATATTAGAGAGAGCAGATATTGTAGATAAGGTTTCTTTACTATGTGTTGCTAAATTAAAACATGTGCTGCACAACGACTCCTTGTCACACTCATATTTGTGTGTCTTATTTATAGAACAAACTTGAAATTGTTGCTGGTCCATGATAAAATAAAAAATCGGTTCAATGGTCCTTCATTAAGTAACACTGTTGTATATCTTCGTGAATCAGCTTAAAACATAACAGAAGACGTTTTTTACTACTTTATCAACGTTTAATGCCAAAGAAATAATATCAATAGAATGAGTTTCACGTTACATTGCACTTCTATCGAGATAAATTTTAATCTAAATTCCCTCGAGCCGCTTCTTTGAATCACATAAGCTCGCTTCGATTCACTGATTACGGTTCACATATCATTATATATTTAGAAAATATCGAGTTCAAAGCAAATCATCGGAATGATTTCGTAACTCTGATCACATGTTTCATTTTTTAAGATACTATACATAATACAAAGGATAATTATGAATCTTTTTCCATTAAAAAGTATTTGAATAGAATGCCTAAATATATAAAGTTAGCATTGAAAAAAAATAGACTAAGTTACGCCATGCGATACTGCTAATAATATAAATAACTTATTAAAAATTAAGCTTTTGATAAAAATTGGAAACTAACTTAATTACTAAAATAGTAAAATATTTTTTTCGTCTGCTTCGGAAGTCGATGCCAAGGCTAGTTACCGTTACAGCTTATTAAAGTTCACTGCTGAAATTAGGCCTCCATGCCATAGTTTCCATGCTTGGCAAGTGAGTTGGCTACTGCAGTTTATTTTTTATTTTTAGTCGTTATTAGGAAGACGCTGCTGCCGATCACCTCATTTGTTACC